GGACGGTTGGATAAGGGGAGGATAGAACTTCTATACTGTAAGGGAAGCATAGAAAGCTTGCCCTTTTATTTTTGAAAATATTCATCGGGTAATTTTAAAGTAAATCCCAAAATCTTAGATCGATAAAGTACTTGTAAATAGGCCTTGAAGGATATAGGATGCACTTTGTCGAAGAACGCTGCATGTGCTAAGAAGACATTTGCGTCAACAACCCAGTGTTTTAAAACCTGGAGAGTTGGACCACCAGTCCCGGCCCTAATTACCCCTAAAACCCTATCATACTTTTCTTTTTTAAGTTTATTTAATATTTCTTAAGTACTTTTAAATCTCCGCCCCATAAGCTCCTATTTCAATTTTTTATATGTTATTATTTTTAATATTTGTGTGACCTTTGAACTGATTTGGATCAGTGATTCGGTGATTCAACATGGATTTGTTGGATGTATGATGTACCCCACCGATCCAAGTTTTGAAACATTGAGAAACAAAAAAGGGTGCTAAACATGGTTTGAGTCTAAATATTTGGAGACAAATGTAAGGAAAAGCTCCAGTCCAATTTAGATCAAGTGAGCCGCTATTTGATCTAGATCTAACTCCTAAGAATATTTTTATTTTTAATTTGTTTCTACAAATTATATGAATATAAATTTGGTATGTGCCACCATCTCAATGGAGCGCAGTAAAAAAAGTATTTAAAAAATATTTTTAAAAAAATAAAATTACTAAAAGACTGCTGAAAGTTTTAGTGGCATTTTGGTCATTTTATTTATTTGAAGATATTTTTTAATATTTTTTCAGGTGCGACTTCGAGAGAGTAGTGGACAACCAAAATTTAATGTCAAAATGTTCTATATGGAAAAATTAAAAAATAAAACAGTGTGTAAGCATAACATTGTGATTGGGGTCATATCTGCCGTTCATTCAGATCGAACAGCTGAATAGGGAGAGATATGTAGCTTATATACAGTAGGGAAAGTATTGAAAGCTTTCTATGAATTTAAAACACAAAAATACTAAATATTACCTCCCCTTGGTTTGTATCTGATAAAACTCCGGCTCCTCCTGAAGCAAAGTTGGCTCCATAAGAATGGTCAGCATTCGATTGCAAGTATGGCGGGATAAGAGGTAAGTTCGCGAGTTCGGCTAAAGTTTACACAAACCAAAGAATGAGCCAGAGAGATGGTATATATATATCCATCTACATTCAGTAGATTTTAAATCTAATAGTTAAGGATGATTGTGCGCATATATATCTATTTTTCATATTTAAAATGTGCTAAGTGAAAGAAATAAGATGGTCGAGATGTCTTGTCATCTACATCAGAAAAAAAGCATGTGTAACCAAACCACCAATCAAGAGATCGAGTCCCCACACATCAACTTTTTCTCTTTTTTTTTCGTTCTTTTAGTAAACTAGGTTCAAGGGTGAAGAAGAGAAGAACAAGAAAAAGATGGAAATAATGGATTATTAGATTTTTTTTGTTGTGGTTTTTCTTTAAGGATTTGAATGCACTTGAGTTTATACTGAAACAAATAAACTTTCTATTTCATTTTCCTGAAAGTCTACAGTAGTGAAAAAGCTTTGTTGTAATTTCCTTTCATTTATTTCCCAAGTTGGGCTTTTTCTCGTGAATTGTGTGAGATTTATTTTATATCAACAGATTGGTGGGACCTATATCCAGCTATTTTTCAATAAAATAAAATAAATAAAGTACGCATACATTGGTCACAAATATGCAAGTCGTAAATTTGACCACATGTATCTTATTTTTTTTGTGCAAAGTGGGCTAATAATTTTCTTTCACGTCAAATATAGTTAATGGTGTAAATTGAACCATCTAATTTCACATTTGACAATTAAAATAAATATGATCTCTTTATAATCAAAATAAATAATTTTATTTTATATTTCTTCAATAAAACAAAAAAAAAAAATCATGAAGTACCAATAAAATCTGGTGTGACCTTCCCATCTGAGAAGCGACCAGTAGGGTGGCCAGAAAAGGCATTTAGACCATAAGGAAAATAATTTGCCCTATGCTCCTTGGAACTATTTATGTAATTGTTGGTGCCACAATCCACTAGGGAATCCCCCAACACAAAAAGCTTCACCCTTTCTCCATTAACAATCTCCCTCCCCATAACCACCAAAACATATATCAAAAGACCACATTCACATTTCAAACCCCATCCCATTTTGTAAAAAAATAAAAAAAAAATATAATAAAAATGTATTGCTGAATGAACAAGCCTATAAATCAGTGGCCAATTTCGTGGAAGACTCACATGGAGGCTTGAATGAAAGCTAGATGGGTATTTATAGCCAAAATTTTCACTCAAATAATATGCTTGCAAAATACATAAATTTGGTTTATTGTGGCTTGAAATCATTTTATAAATTGGACCGTTGAGATTGAATGCTACAGTTGCGTAGGGTAGATTTATGTCACGAGTTGTACGACCTGATTTTGATGGATGAGCAATCACCCTAAAAAGATGGATGCCTGGAAAAAAATGTCAACCGTCCAATCAACGGGAAAGCACACGTCACACTAACGTGAGGAATCTTTGTTACGTTCTTTTCGTCGCAAAACGTAACGAGCTAGTCTACCATGACTTCTAGGAAGAATCAGCGAGGCCAAGGGAGAAATTATTCTAATAGAATTTTAGGGACATATTCCGTAAGAGAAATGACATTATGAGACCTTCTTTATAAAAATCAGAAAAAAAAAAAAATTGAAAAAATGAAAATGAAAAAGCTATGACATATTGTGAGATTTAGGTGAAAGGATTTTATAGAGATCTATCAAAAAGTTATTGTGAACTTTTAGGGTCCTACTCACACGAATGTGGGAGGGTCATGTAATATCGTTATTCTATTTTCAATCAAATAGATTTTTTTTTTTTTGATAATATTGTTAAATTTGTAAGTAATGATCCTACTAGAACGTCCCACACCTATGTGTGTAGGATCTCAAACGATCACCATTAAATTTAATACAAATCTCTAGAAAAGTTATCACATGGGTGTGGGATTTGACTTTTCTAGAGATTTGTGTCAAATTTAATGGTGATCATTTAGGGTTCTACACACATAAGTGTGAGGGGTCTCATAGGATCATTACTCTTTTTAAAAACCTTATTAGTTTTTATGTTATTTTATTACTAGTGATGTAGTAAAATTGTACTTGTAAGTTTGTGTAATAAGAAGTTATGAAAGCACTAGATGGTTAGTAGTTGTAGGTTAGTAATTATAGTTGTAAGTGAGTAGTTATTGTAGGAAATATGGTTGTAAAAAAACCTATATTTAAAAGAGAGGTTTGTGGTGGGAATATGTGTTAAGGTTAATATTGTATGTTGAGATTATAATTCTTTTATATACCCCATGTTTTTTTTAACGAAATTTTTCTTCCACTTCATCTTGGTTCTTCTTCTTCTTTCTATTTACTTGTAAGTCGTAGGCTAATGTAGCATTGTCACATCCCATCCCATTTCACATTTCAAACCCCATCCCATTTTGTAAAAAAATAACAAAAAACATATAATAAAAATGTATTGCTTAATGAACAAGCTTATAAATCAGTGGCCAATTCCTCTAAAAGAATAGGAAAGAGGCTTGGTTTCGTGAAAGGCTCACATGGAGGCTTGAATGAAAGCTAGATGGGTATTTATAGCCAAAATTTTCACTCCAATAATAGGCTTGCAAAATACATAAATTTGGTTTATTGTGGCTTGAAATCATTTTATAAATTGGACCGTTGAGATTGAATGCTACAGTTGCATAGGGTAGATTTATGTCACTAGTTGTACGACCTGATTTTGATGGATGAGCCATCACCCTAAAAAGATGGATGCCATAGATGGAGAAAAATGTCAACCGTCCAATGGACGGGAAAGCACACGTCACACTATCGTGAGAAATCTTTTTTACGTTCTTTTCGTCGCAAAACCTAACGTGCTAGCTTACCATGACTTCTAGGAAGAAAAAAAAAAATGAAAATGAAAAAGAAAAAGCTATGACATATTGTGAGATTTAGGTGAAAGGATTTTATAGAGATCTATCAAAAAATTGGTGGGAACTTTTAGGGTCCTACTCACACGAGTGTGAGGGTCATATAATATCGTTATTTTATTTTCAATCAAACAGATTTTTTTTTTTTTTGATAATATGGTTAAATTTATAAGTAATGATCCTACGATAACTTCCCACACCCATGTGTGTAGGATCTCAAACGATCACCATTAAATTTAACACAAATCTTTAGAAAAGTTATCATATGGATGTGGAATTTGACTTTTCTAAAGATTTGTGTCAAATTTGATGATGATCATTTGGGGTTCTACACACGTGGGTGTGAGAGGGTCTCATAGGATCATTCCTCTTTTTAAAAACCTTATTAGTTTTTATGTTATTTTATTACTAGTGATGTAGTAAAGTTGTACTTGTAAGTTTGTGTAATAAGAAGTTATGAAAGTACTAGATGGTTAGTAGTTGTAGCTTAGTAATTATAGTTGTAGCTTAGTAATTATAGTTGTAAGATGGTTAGTAGTTGTAGCTTAGTAATTATAGTTGTAAGTGGGTAGTTATTGTAGGAAATATGGTTGTAAAAAAACCTCTATTTAAAAGAGAGGTTTGTGGTGGGAATATTGGGTTACATGTGTTAAGGTTAATACTGTGTGTTGAGATTATAATTCTTTTATATACCCCATGTTTTTTTTAACGAAATTTTTCTTCCACTTCATCTTAGTTCTTCTTCTTCTTTCTATTTGCTTGTAAGTCGTAGGCTAATGTGGCATTGTCACACCCCATCCCATTTCACATTTCAAACCCCATCCCATTTTGTAAGAAAATAACAAAAAAAATATAATAAAAATGTATTGCTTAATGAACAAGCTTATAAATCAGTAGCCAATTCCTCTAAAACAGCGTTTTAAAAAACGCTGAGTCGAACCGGACTCGCCCGGTTCGACTCGGAAATCGTGAAAAGGAGACCGGATCGCCCAAAAAATCGGAAATCGTCCGGTTCTAGAGAGAACCGGACGATTCTGTACAGTGAATCGTCGATTCACTGTACGGAATCGGCGAGTCCGAACAGTGAATCGGCGATTCCGTTACGGTTTTTTTTTTTTTTTTTTTTTTTGTGTTTTTGTAATCCATGATAGATTTTTTTGTAATACTTGATCGATTTTTTTGTAATCCATGATCGAATTGTTTTTGTTTTTTTGTAATCCATGATCGAATTTTTTAGTTTTTTGTAACCCATAATAGAATTTTTTGTAATCCATGATCGAAATGTTTGTTTTCTTTTCTTGTAATCCATGATCGTATTTTTTTGTTTTTTGTTTTTTTGTTTGTAACCCATGATAGTAATTTTTGTAATCCATGATCGAATG